GTTTGTAAACATTTGGGTAAATGCCCAAAAGTGGGATTGCTGGGTCATAGGGGAGTTCTATGTGAAGTCTTTTGAGGAACCTCCATACTGCTTTCCAAAAATATTTTTAATGCTATTCTGTTTTCTCTTCAATTTTATTTTTTCATGTTTGTGGCTAGTCTATACAATTCAACTGTTGTATATTGACCAGGATTGCTGTAGTTCCTTAGTAGATTCATTTTTTCCTAGTGACATATTTTTCTAAGGATTTGATAGTTTTATGCATACATAATCATCTGTGAATAAAAACAGGTTTACCTTTTTGTTTCTGATTTTTATGTCTCTTTTCTGGCTGGTTCTTTAAAACATTATTGGATACAAAAAGCTGATAGTGAATGTTCTTGAGTGTTTCCCCCTTTTCCAGTTTTGAGGGGAAAATAATTCATGGCTTTATTATTTAGAATCACATTAACTATTTTTCCCCATTTATTAATCTTAAAACTTTCTGCCCTCTTTCTGGATTACTATGAGGTTTAAGTCACTAAAGAGTCCAATTTGGTCTAATTAAATTTCTTACCTGTTGAGATCATGAGTTTTTTAATATTAATTTGGTGAATTGGTTTAAAATACTAAATTTATGTTTCTCCTATTCAAGTCTGATTATTTAACTTCTTTTATGAGAAAATTCTATGTTCATAAAAAGTACTGGTTAACTCCTTATATTTTATGGAAAAAATTCTGTGCTCACGAAAAATACTGGTCTACTTTTCTGTGCTTGTACTGTTTTTATTAGGTGTTTGTATGTATTAGCATTGTGCTGATTTCACAAAGGAAATTGATTTTCCTATGTTTCTGAAAGTTTTTTTTAATCAAAATAATCTTATTTTCCCCTAAATAATTGCCTTAATTCAGCAATGAAATATCTTTATGGGAAAGTTTTTATAGTAAATTTTTTTTCTCCCAGTAGTTTTAACTCAAGGTTTTACACTCACAAGGCAGCTGTTTTTGCCCTGGTTGGTTTTCAGATTGACTCTGTTTTCCACATTGGCCAGACTGGACCTCATTCCTCGGTTTACACTTCCCACTGTGGGTGTGATGACAAACATCTCCACCAAACTCAGGGCTTTCTCTTCTGACAGTCTTGTGACTTTTCTGTCTGGATTGGCCTGAATCCATGATCTTTCTGATCTCGGCTTCTCTCATGCTTTGGACAAACAGGCATGCTACTACCCCCAGCTATTGGTTGAGGTGATATCTTGAGATCCTCTTTGGCTTGCTGGCCTCAGAACATGATCTTACTGTCTCTGCCTCCAAAGTAGCTAGAATTACAGGCAAGGCATGAGACTTCAGTCAGACAATAAATTTATTTTTAAAAATAGGTACTTACTGATACTCTGTTTTATATTGATTTGTCTATGTAAGTTACAAATTTAGTAGCAATAATCCTTGATTGTTTTAATAAAATTTGGAAGGATCTTTTTGGTACTTTACATTTTTTTGTTATTGGTAGTATACTTGATCATTTTTGCTAGGAGTTACTAGTTGTATTTCCTGCCCTCCTTCCCTCTCTTTTTCCTTCCCTCCTCTCTCCCCCCTCCCTCCCTTCTTCCCTTCCTTCCTTTCTCTTTTTAAAGAACCAGTCTTTCCACCCATTAAGACAGTATTTTCAGCCAGGTGAGGTGGTTTATGCTTATGATTGTAACTACTGGGGAGACGGAGATTGGGAGGATCAGGGTTCAAGGCTATCTGAGGCCAAAAGTTCAAGAGAACCCCTCCCAGCCAGTGTGTGGGTGTGGTTATTTACAGCTGTCACTCATCTAGGAGGAGTCATCAGTGGGATTCTGGTCCTGGTTGTCCCAGGCATACATTTGACAAAGAACAAGAGCAAAAACATCTGGTGACATATATTCCAAGTATAGGGTTCTGAGTTCAGATCCAGTAACTGCCCCCATTCGTACCCATGTTTTTCCATAAGTCCATGGACTTGAAGTATTTCTTTAAATTGCTTCTTATTTACTTTAGCTTCTAATTTCCTAATTTCCCTTTAAGCACTGCCTTGGCCTGTAAGCTACAAAGTTTAAATATCTCACTGTTAGAATTGATTTCCATTTCCCATGTGATTGCTTTTTCAATTCATGAATTACTTAAAAGTTTGTTTCTTTTTCAAACATTGGGAATTTTCCAGTTATCATGGTTACTAACAACTAATTTCATTTTGGTCAGATATACTCTCATGTTTCATTTATTTGAGACTTAAATTATATAGCTCAGCATGTAATCTTTCTTGGCAAACATTCTTCAAGGTTGGATGTTATATTTTGTAATTTTTATAGGTAACACTAAAAAGTTACTTATGCATTAAGCAGTACTTGATCTTTAGAGGAAATAAATACCAATGTGTTTGCAGTTGCAAGTACTCTTTATTCTTGAAGTTTCAAATTTCTTTCTGATATAGTGATTTGTTAAAGGACAACTTAAGAATTTCTTGTTGAAATCATCTGATGACTAATTCTCAGCTTTCCTTCATCTTAATGGCTTTCCTTCCGTGTGTGTGTCTGTGTGTGTGTGTGTCTGTGTGTGTGTGTCTGTGTGTGTGTGTGTCTGTGTGTGTGTGTGTGTGTGTCTGTGTGTGTGTCTGTGTGTGTGTGTGTCTGTGTGTGTGTGTGTCTGTGTGTGTGTGTTGTGTGTCTGTGTGTGTGTGTCTGTGTGTGTGTCTGTCTGTGTGTGTGTCTCTGTGTGTCTGTGTGTGTGTCTCTGTGTGTCTGTGTGTGTGTGTGTTCTCGTTTTCTTCGTGATGATCCAGATTGAACATAAGCCTTGTGAATGCTACACAGCTGCCTGCCACTGAGCTATATATCTCAGCCCCTCAACTGATTTAGAGAATAATTTTTACTGGATGGAGAAATGGGTTGAAAGTCTACTTTCTCTTTTCATTTCTTTGAAAACTTCCTTTTATTCATGTTAGGGCCTCCATTGTTTTTGTCAGGAACTTTGTTCCTCTATAGTCATGGGTAGTTTTCCCTCTTGTTTTTTTAAGATTACTTAAAAAATTTTTTTTTCTTGTGAGTTTGAGCAGTTTTTGTGTCTCAGTTCAGTTTTCTAAATGAGACTGCTGAATGTCTTCAATTTGTTGATTGACTTTTTTTTTTAAAGGAACTTTTCAGCCAAGCTTTTTTATACAGCATAACCAGTAGGAAGGAATGTTTAAGAATACCCCATTATATCTAGAAGCAAAGATTTTGTGTAGTTTTACATCAGGAAAAGAGCAAATAAGCAAGAGGCATCAGCTGTAGCATGAGAATAAAGTAGGGAGTGTATATAGAGGGAGAACCAGTTGGAGGGGTATGAAAGCTGGAGGGGTATGTGAAACTCATTAAAACTTGTTTAAAAAAGGGAGTAGAAGGGGTAAGAAATGTAATGGAGGGGAGTGACTTTAGTTTGAGTACATTATATACATGCTTTGTACGGTTAATATTCTACTGAAAATTGAGTATTGGGACTAATCACATATTTGGGAAGTTACCAAAAATTAATGGTATACTATTTATAGCAATCCAATTTCAGAATTACAAATAAATCCTTTATTGATCCTAGTTTTTTTACATTATTATTTTTTGAAGTTAAAGCTTTTTTATGTTTTTGTTTTGTTTTGAAATCAGATCTTGCTGTGTAGCCTAGACTGGTTTAAAATCAGGATTGTACTGCCTTGGCTTCCTGAGTTCTGGGGTTGTATGCTTGAGTACCACACTGAACTCAAAGATTTTTTAACTAAAGAAAAGAAACCTATTTATATTGTTCAAACTAATGTAAGGGATCATGTAGAATAGGGTTGCAGATTTACAGCAGAGTATATGGCTGAAATTCTGAGAAGTGAAGAAGAGAAGAGTCTGTTCAAGACTCTTCCAAAAAGCCTTGAACTTTTTATGCATGCTTTAACGTTTTCATCTGTATTTAGAAAATACAATAATTTTCCCACCTTTTAAAGTTGATACTTCTCAACTGTCCTAGCCATGTGTAATTTCATTTTTTCTAAAAAGTCTAGCTCAAATGTTACCTAAGAAAATTTTTCCTAATGAGATAGCAAGAATGATTTAAGAATTACTAGTTTTGTATTCCTTTTCTGTATATAAATAGGAATAAATACTTGAATAAATGAAAATCAAAAGAGAATGTCTATTTGAAAATTATTAAGCATATGAGCATGGAGAAGACACTTTCAATAAGGTATTCTGATCTTCCAACTGTTCCATCTTTCTGCTTTAAAATAGAAAAACTATTTATTGAATTTCTTGTATTTTTTTAGTTGATATGATTTTTAAGTTGCAAGATTCTAGGTTAGTGAGTGTCTACTCTTTTATGACACAATACCTTTTAGCACTATTTTATTTTAAAAACATTTTTAATTTTTTTTCTAATTTTTTTAGCACTAAAGTGTAGAATTAAAGGGCAATAGCCAATTTAAGATTCTGCAGCAGTTTGATTTCAGTGGGCACCAACATATATAGCAATAATTCACTGTGTAAGTTCATGTTATGTCATCTCACTTCATCTTTTCTTGATGTTCCAGCTCTCTATCAACATCAGCTCATATCACAGAGAAGATACTTTCAAAGACATGTTTTGCTGAAAAGACAACTGAGAACAGTTTTACGAATGGGATGAACACGCTCCAGCCCATTGACTACCGACTGAAATTTGAATGTTAAGAATACCCATCTGGTAGAGTTACCTAGGGATGTACCTATTCTCACAGTACCCTATTTCAACGTGCTTGTCTTGATTAAAGAATTCAAAGTGGAGTACCGCAAACTTGATATGGATAATAAAAAGAAAGACAAGGACAGAGCAGATGATAGAATGGCACGGCCTAGCGGTCGGTCCGGGCACGGCACTCGAGGAACTGGGTCTTCATCATCTGGGGTGTTAATGGTTGGACCTAACTTTAGAGTTGGAAAAAAAATTGGATGTGGCAATTTTGGAGAATTACGATTAGGTAAGACTATTTTGTTTGTTCCATTATAAGAGAAGCATGTTTTTAAATGGAAGGTAAGTTTTAATGAAAAAGATTGTCATTTAATCAGTTAATTTTTATGGTATTTCTAAAGAAGGTAGATGTTAGGCATTTCTTATTGACATGGTATTTCATTTGTGAGAATTACCTGGCATAGAAATGTCTACTTACTAGAGTTTAACCATTCTCTCTCTTTTTTTTTTTTGATAATATGAGAAAAGAAGAAAGTAGTTTGAAAAAGTTGAGAAGGCTAAAAAAAGGTGCCAATAATGAGGCCTCTTGCAGTGTTCTTTATGTATGATATTTAGGTACCTTTCTTATATTTTAAGATAATTAGTAACTTTCAAACTATATATGACTTCACATTAATGTACCGAAATGACATAAAATTAATGAAATTTACATTGTTGTAATTGAATTTTTCTCTCTCTTCAGTCTTCTTCACTTTCCCCTAAAATATGTTGAAGGGCCCAGGAATATTTTCTTAACAAAAGACTCAAGAGTATTGACTCAGGTTATCATAGTTAGGTAAATTTGGGAAGCATTCATCTAATAAAAAAACTCTACATTTCAGAATGTTGAGGGAAAGTTACTTGCCAGATGTTAACAAACAATTTAAGACAGATTCAGGAACATAAAGTCTCAGTCTTTGAGCACCTAGTATAGTAGAATTGTAGTTGTCTCCTTTGAAGAGGGTGGGGGAGTCAGAATTGATGGGCAAGAAAGTCCTGACCAGTGGACCACAAAGAAATTAAAATAAAAGTTAAGCTTCGGTTTAACTCTACTGCTCGAAACAGTTCCAGTTGAGTTCATCTACTCAACTGTTTCTTCTCATTATCTTGTAAAAACAATTTGTAGTGACTCTTATCTCATTAGTTTTTTGTTGCTAATGTACATTAAATATTTGAATGAAGCAAAATAAGAGCTAATAAAAGATTACATACTTTGTACCTAGCTATCTCATGATGTGTCTGACAAACTTTTAATAGAATCACAAATATTTCTAAAGGTAAATGTGTTGCATTTTCCTTAAAAAATACTGAATCTGATAGTTTAGCATTTTTAAGCTGCTTGACTTTGGAGTTAGAGAAACCAGGCAGTTTACTTTTGTCTAACTTTGATGCTATCCAGCAAAACTTGACACTAATCTAGAGAATAATAACAAATGTTTCTTATCTATATAGAATGCATACTTTTAGCCATGCATTGAGCCAGTCAGAGCCTCAAGTTTGTCAACTTCATATTACAGTTATTTCTACTTCATAGATTAGAGGATAATTGAAGAAACCAGCATTATATCTGCCTGTACTTTGGCTATTTCTATTTGAAATTTGTTTTGTGTGATTTATTTCAAATAACTATGCACCAACATGCATATATATGTATATATACAAAAACATATACATACATGTACAATATATATATTATGTGTGTATGTATTCATACAAAATAAATCTAGTGGACTGCTTTAACCAGGACAGTATGAAAAACTGTATGAGCCAGAAAGTACAGTTTATTCCTAAAGCATAAAACACTCTTTTACAATCTTTAAATAAGTAGTCATATAAAAAAGGTAGCTTCTTAGAACTTCTAATCTAAATCATATTATATATACCTGTGTGATATTTATATAAATTTATTTAAATGTAATATCTGTATCAAATATGTGTTTTATGTATGTTTAGAACACATTGTATATATGTTTATGTATTCTATATATTTATATACATAGTGTATATATGATGTATATTAAACATATATACATGCAGAACTAAATCAACTTATTCTTTCTTATTTAAAGACTACTAAAGAAGGCATTTTACCCCTTCTGTCAAGACTCCAAATGATTTCTCTGTTTGGAAGATGAATTATTCTTTCTATAGCTGGCTAAACAATTTGTAATACTGTGAAAGTTGGTTTGTATTTTTAAAATATTTTCTTTCCAATCATTTTTTTCTTTTTAATTTAAATTTTATTGTAAAGGTGATGTGCGGAGAGGTTGCAGTTACATAAGTCTGGTAATGTGTACATCTTTTGTTTGAACAGTGCTACCCCCTCCCTTATTTTCTCCACTGTTCCCCTCCTAACTCCCTGCCTCTGAAAGTTGTATCCTTAATTTCTAACATAGTGTTTAGTGAGTATCACTGCTCAATTGGTTCCATTTGTCCTACCTTTTCTGTGCTTCCTTTTCGTCTCCCAAAATCACATAAAAATATACAAGGCAAAGTCTACAGAAATAAATTACAGTGACAAAAGAGAATAAACCAGCTGGGCCCGCAGGTAGCTCAAGCCTGTAATCCTAGCTACTCAGGAGGCTGAGATGTGGAGATCATGATTCAGAGCCAGCCTAGGCAGGAAAATCAGTGAGCATCTTATATCCAATTAACTCTCAGAAAACTGGAAATGGTGCTATGGCTCAAAGTGGTAGAGTGCTAGCCTTGAGCGCAAATGCTAAGGGCTAACACCCAGGCCCTGAGTTCAAGCCCCATCTCACCCCCCCCCCACACACCCTCAAGAAAAATCCAGCAAACAGTATCATTTTTTTCAAAAAAACCTCTTATTTCCATTTCTTGAAGTTCATTTTGATAAGCATCATCAGACCATTCTAATTATACTCTATAAACATTTGTTGGTACTGAATTTCTGAGTAGAAGGAATATGGGATACATGTTATACTTAAGTGATTTTTCAGTAAAATTGCTATTGTAATTGGACTGTATGAAGTTGTTTGGATTTCTTTGTAGAATGCTATATCATTGTATGGCTTTGTGACTTAGATCTCTCAGGTACCTAATATTAGTTGAAATCCTATACACAACTCAAAATATCCCCCTGCAAGAATTCTTTTTTTTTTTTTTTTTGTTTGGTCATGGGGCTTGAACACTGGGCTTGGGTGATGTCCCTGTGCTCTTCAGCTCAAGGCGAGCGCTCTACCGCTAGAGCCACAGCACCACTTTTGGTTTTCTAGTGGTTTATTAGAGATAAGAGTCTCACGGAGTTTCCTGCTCAGGCTGGCTTTGAACAGCGATCCTTAGACCTCCTGAGTAGCTAGGATTACAGGCGTGAGCCACTGGCTCCTGGCTTGCAATAATTCTTAATAGATAATTAGTTTTAAGAAAATGACAAATTAGAAAACTAATTTGGTAAGCACTTAACAAAATTGATATAACATTTAAATAAGTGTTAAGCATTTTATCCATTTTTCATTTTAAGTTATAAGGTGATGCATTTGTGGTGTCTGGGTGGTGAGTCATTCTGCATTTTGTTAGGTCTACTTCTGGATTAAGAAATCAATGAGAAATCTTGAAATTTGAAAGTTACCCTAGCTAGCCAAAATATTTGGCTGTATAATTTTTAATTTTTCTGTGTATTTGCTAACTTTTTTTTTTTAACCTTTCTGGCAGGGGAGAAAACATCTGTGTGTCAGCCAGTTCCCAGACGTAGTAATTATTAGGCAGTGAGTCTGAGTTGGGAGCATGCCTGCTTTTGATATGCAGACAAGCCCTAAGCCTATCTGGCTCATCTCCTGTGGAGGTTGTATTCTTTGTGTTAATTAGTGGGAGGCAGGGTCAAATACCACGTCACTGTGGAGAGTAGCTCCATAGCACAGAGGTCCGGAACTGTGGAGACTAGTCACCTCTACTTTGTCCTGCTTCCCTGGACACTAATAAAGGCTTTGGCCCGGGTCTCTTACCACCTCACCTAAATTGGGTGCTTCTCCTGTGACCCTGCGTAGTATGTAGTGTGTCTCTGTCTCTTCAGCCTTGTGAGTATAATAAACTGTGTTTTCCTGTGCTATTTATTATGAATTACTATATCTGAAACAAGATACTATTAACTTCTTGACATAATTTTTCTACAGAAGTTTCCGCTAAACCCCTTTCTGTTACTTTTTTTGGGGGGGGGCTTCTTATACTACATAGTTCAAAGCTCTCTTTATTTAAGTGTTTGTGTTTGAGAATTGTTTGATTGAAAATTCTGTAGGTCTTATATAACAACTACATATACAGATTAGGTGAATTCATTATTATGTTTATTTTTCTACTCTTTCTAGCTAAGTCTAGGATAAAAAACACATTCCCAAAATACAGAGGTTTCAAACAGAGAGAGAGAGAGAGAGAGCGAGCAAGCACATGTGCGTGCCAGCGCGCACACACCCAGGCTGTCAGTGTACTTGTGCATCCTTCATATGTGCCTTCCCTGTCTTTGTGCAATGTGCTCTTTCTTCAGTTCTCCTTCCAACAAGTCAGCCAGATGAACAAAAAGAGCCACAAATGCACACATGGATTCCTGGGAGTGAGAGGTGACATACTTCTTGTTTACTGATATGCATAACTTAGTCATATGGCCACAGTCAGCTGAAAATGAGGCTGGGAAATAATGGTCTGGTAGCCATTTTCAAACGTGGGCCTTCTGTTGTTATGAAAGGAGGAAAAGGGATATTGGTGGGTTGCTTATCCCTGCTGCAAACATATTTAGTGTATATTGGCAATTTCCTTTGAAATTGAATTACAACACCAGTTTTCTATCACCATTTTCCTTGGAGACTTCTTTCACACCCACAGTCCCTTCTTCCTCATACCATCCACACAAATGTATACTTTGTGCATCATGTGTTTTTTGTGTATACAATAATGTACAATAAATTTTATTTAAAACTGGAACTGTGTCTGTGTTAGATGACAAAAATGTATTTGTATTATTCTCTGATCTTAGTCCATGTTTATAACTGTAACCTTCAAGCTTCAGCAAAATCTTTTTATTTTTATTTAAATATGATGCCTTTAGGATTTAGTGCCTTTTCCCGACACTGAAAATGTAGACGTCCAACCACATATGCCAATGAAAATAAAACTTTTGAAAGTATTGGTATGTTTTGGTTCTATGGGATCTATAGCAAACTTGTGAATTTTTTCCTATTTATAAATAAATATTATATACAAAATACTTATAAAGAAGTGACAGCCTTGTAAAGTGCCTATTTTTCATCTTTTAACTTGAAATCAGAACCGCTCTTTTGTTAGCTACCAGTTCTCCAGTTCTTCATTATTCATTTAAGCGTATTAGATAAATGTAAGTTTTCATATATACTGAATTCTTGAAAATGTATATATAGACATCTTACTACTGCTGAATTAATTGCCTAAAAATACTGTGTAATATTAAATTTAATATAGGTTTAATAAGCATCTGCATTGAGTTTAATGTTCATCACATTTGGCATTTCTCTTGATTCTTCTTTGTGCCAAATACATTGCGTCTATGAGACTTAAGCTACTTGGTATGAATATTACATTTTTTTTCCTAATAAGTTTTACTCATTTTTATACATAAGGGCATAAAGTCATGTAACTAGTAATTTGCATGAATAAACACTGCTATGGAGAGGTATCAGGTGACACATATATATGAACAAAACTTTGCTGATCTCAATGAAACTTTGCTATTTATCAATTGCTGTATGAAAGGAGGTTAAAGGGTATTTTGTAGAAAAGCATTATATCCATGACTGGTGTTCAGTAGGCGCTTGTGACTCTTGACAAGGTACTCTCACAGTTTAAAACAAAATACAATCTCTTCCTCCCACCCCCCCCAATCTGTCACTTTTCTATGTTCTTCATGACAAAACTAACTTATACTAATTGAAAATATTGGATATTTGGGAATCACCTTGTAATATTTCTTTTATTCAATTCTTTTAAATGTAATTGTAAAAGTACACATTAGTTTAGCTATTTCTATATGCTAATCACCTCCAAAATTCTCCTACAATAGTCTCCTAATGTTATAGATACCACTGGAATTTTCTTGATTATAGACACTGCTAAAATTTGCTGTAAATTTTTAAAATTTTTGAAGTGTAATGATGTTAAATCTATCTTGATTTGTCACTCACCTCTTCTTTGTACGTAACAGTCTTCTCAACATTTAGGAGTTTAAATGTTTCATGGAAATAATTTGATCGTAAGGTAATGTGTTAGTACCCTTTTTTCTCAAACTTGTTAACCTAGTTTTCTAGAGCCATATTTTGAGTACTTTTTTCCTTGCATGTATAAAAGATTCCAAATCTTTACTTACATATCTGATACATTTCTAGATTAAATGAGCCCTAATAAGACCATATTCTGTAATAATGAAGGATTTAAAATGAGTGATTAGGAGGGGAATTTGAAATTTCTGCATTTATTTTGGAGTTTTAAAATTTAGCATTCACCTAACTGTAGATTATTTTCTAAATTGTATGTAGTATTCCAAAAACCAGAATCTTTTTATTTTTGTGAGTGAGATTTACTAGTATTACTTTCTACTCTCGAGATGAAATGCTAAGCATATCAATTTAAATATTACCTTTTGCTTCATTGTTGGGAGTAAAGACTTTTGCTTCACTTAAATGTATTGTGTAGTTTTTTTTAACAGTACAGTTTATATAATTAAATTATAAATGATTAGCAAAATCTGATTTTTTCTTTCTTTTTCAAGGGAAAAATTTATATACAAATGAATATGTGGCAATTAAACTGGTAAGTTCATGTTTCTCTTTCTTAATTTTTATTTATTAAATTACATTTTAATTTAAATTTCATATTTATATTTGGGAAGTTTATTTGAAAAGGAAAAATGTTGTATGACTGATTTTTTTTCATTTTTTTATGTGAAAATACTGTACAGAGGGGTTACAATTGCATGGGCAAGATAATGAGTACATTTCTTATCAAGCATTGTAGCCTCCTCCTTTGTTTTCCTTTCCCATCCCTTCCTATCCTCTCTCCAACCCCCCCACCGAATCTTTCTCCCTCCTCACCCCCCACCAAAGTTGTAAAGTGTGACTGAAATTTTTGAGGTCCTTAATATCCTAATTCCTGTCAAGTTCATGATAATGTGTGAGATACCAGTGTGTTTCTTTGCCACAAAAGCTGTCGTTTTACTTTGGCATAACCAAAGAACTGAATATTGAATATTATTGCTATTTTTAACTTAGTTAAAAATTTTAATTAGATAAAAATTCCCAGGATTTTTTCTTTTGGATTCAAGTGTTGAGACAAATTGTGTTTTGTGTTCTGGATTCTTTGAATACATACTTTAAAGTAGTTTCTGAAATTTTTTGTATTGGTTCATGAATATCAAAAACTTAACTGTTGCTTGGCTTTTAGAGTTTCACAAATGTTTGATGTGAGTGTGAGGTAGTGGGAAAGCAAATACTCATGCACTTTTTCTGAAATTCTAAGTGTCCAATATAAGTAGAGAGATCTCTTTTGCAAGAATTTAGACCTAGGAATTGTTTCTGTAAGGTAAACTTTATTGTGGCTTTTCTACTGGCTTGTTAGCCTGGATTCCCAAAGATTTAGCTTCATTTTCCCAGCTTTATGTTTCTTGATCTGTGATAGCAGGGTGATGTGAAATTAATGATACAAAGGAGAGAGGCAGGTACTTAGGAAAGAGGCAGGTGGGAGGAATCAGAAAAACTTAAAAGGGTCTTTCTGTGTATGTGTTGACTTTGACTTTAACAAATAGTTTATTTTTAGCAGATAGTTTATTTTTACTTGGAAATAAAGATGCCCAGTAGGTTTATGGTATAAACCATCAGGAGAAACTGGCTGCTATACCTTTTACATAGATGATTTATGAGATATACATTGGGTAGTTTGTTGTCACTAAGTTTGTCACTATTTTTCCTTTTTTTTTCTTTTTGGGGCAGTTGTGGGGTTTGAACTCCGGGTCTGGGTGCTGTTCCTGAGCTCTTTTGCTCAAGGCTAGCACTCTACTATTTGAGCCACAGCTCCACTTCTGGTTTTTGAGGGGTTAATTGGAGCTAAGAGTCTCACTGGGACTTTTCTGCCTAGGCTGGCTTTGACCCATGATCTTCAGATCGCAGCCTCCTGAGTAGCTAGGATTATAGACACTAGCCACTAGCACCCAGCATCACTTTCTTAGAGTTGGAGTCACACTAGTCAGTAATGAGAATCAGTTCACACAAGCTCTCAGAGATCTAAATGTTAAGGAAAGGGTTGATTTCTAATTTTTAGTGAAATATTTTACTATTACAAATCCAAAATGCCTAACTTAGTATAAATAGTGTGTAGGCTGTATAGAAAACCAAATTAAAATTGTGTCCTCATGAGTGTGCACATGATTCACAGTGGGAGACCTGTGATGCAGTGCAAGAACTGTACTTTATTTATACGGGTGTGGCTGATTTTTGGTGTTCTTTGTTCTCTGTTGTAGGCTAGTGGACTTGAGCTGGATGGGTTTTGGCATTGGGGTTGGGGTGGTGAGCAAAGTCAGAAGCACGACAGCACTTTTTTCTTGCTTATTGGTGCGGCAGCTCTGCTCCTGGAAGAGAGCCTGCATGTCAGGGGTTTATCTAATAGGCCAAGATAGATAAGTCATTGTGTCAAAGCAGGAGCTACTGCTCTAGGCTGACCTTACCGTCTCTCTCAGTTATTGAGTGGTGACTTTTAGGTCCTGTTCTTAACAGATTTTGAACTGGTTTATCCTGTCTGCACTGATGATGCCCTAGTAAATATTTATTATATTATCTTCCTGTCTTTATACACATCCATCCATCTATTGTCCGGGGTGGGGGAGAGTGGGGGTGGGGAGGTGGGATACTTGGGATTGAGCTCAGAGACTTTGGCTTATTAGACAGGTGTTCTGCCAATTCACTCCTTACTTTTTTCTTTTTCTTTTCTTGTTTCTGGTGCGAGTAATGATGCTTGAACTAGAGTCTTGAGTGCTATCACTTAGTATTTTTGCTAAAGGCTGGCACTCTACTACTTGAGCCACAGCTCCACTTTGGGTTTCTCGATAGGTAGTTGGAGATAAGAATCTCATGATCTTTTCTGCCTGGGCTGGATTTGAACTACAATCTTACATATCAAGCCTCCTGAGTAGCTATGATTTCAGTCATAAGCCACTCACTGGTGCCTGGCAACTTTCTTTGTTATTCGTGAGGCTTAAAGTCAGGGCTAGGGCTCTGTCCCTGAGCTTTTCTGCTCAAAGGTAGCATTCTACCACTTTGAGCCACAGCTCCATTTCCGGTTTTCTGATGGTTAAGTCTCACAGACTTTCCTGCCTGGTCTGGCTTTGAACTGCAGTCCTCACATCTCAGCCTCCTGGGTAGCTAGGATTACAGGCATGAGCCACCAGCATCCAGCTTCCTTGGTGATTTTGAGTTTTGCCAGGGCCAGCTTGGGCTGCAGTCCTCCTGCTTGGGTGACCTTTTGACAAAGGCACTGTGTCTGCCATTGTGCTTCCTCTGTAGCTTAGGATAATAGGTGCATGCTTAGGGTCTAAGTCATTGGTTGAGATGGACTCTCTTAACCTTCTACCATCTCAAACTCCCATCTCCCTGATCTGTGCCTCTCAAGTAGCCAGGGTTACAGGCTTGCGCCATTGTGCCTAGCTAGGCTTTTAGCTAGATTTTTTTTTTTAGCTGTATCATTATCACTGGCCTCTCTGCTTGGTAATTATTATTTTTTTTCCTTTTAATTATTTTTTCTTCCTGCATTTTTTAGACATTCTTACTTTGCTCTAATCTTTAAAAAAAAACTACAATGATCAGCATTACATGTAGAAATTATATTGGAGTAACAATATTTTTAGATCTATGTCTTCATTAGTATTTGGAGTTGACTTATGATAGATAGTCATATTCTCCTCAAATTCATCCAAAATTATATTGTAACAATACAATATTTTCTACATTTTGGTACTTCGTTTGCTATTTGCATTTTTAAAGGTTTTTTGTTAAGTTTTATCTATTTCATCTTACTGCAACAAATAATATTTAATTTTGTTCAGAACTGGCCATAAAAGTAATACTTTGAAAATATTGTGAATGTATTTTCAAACATATCTGATTGTGGCACTTGTGAAAAATAAAAGCATTAAATAATGTGTGATATTGAAAGAGAAACTTACAGTGACTACTCTCAACTCTGTTACTTGATTAAAGTTTTTATATTGCTCTGATGTTACTCTGTTTCAGATTATAGTTTGTTTCCAGGTAATTTATTAATCTGGCCTTGGTTATTACCTTCACATTTCGTTGTTTGCACTTACATAATAACCAGTTCTTTATTGGTAATAAAAATAACCATCTGTGGCAAGGTGACTTTTGTCATATGGTGGTATAATAATAAAATTTTATTGCTAGTGACATACTGGAATCAACTTTGGATGACTAAACTTAGATCTAGTTTCATCATTTTTTTTCCAAGAGATAAATGTTTAGGTTCACATGATTATACAAGTGGACAGTTTTTTATATCAAGGCTATGCACTTGTAGATAGTTAATAAGAATCACAGGGATTATGGAATTATGAGGAAGATAAAGTTTCAACTTATTAAGATGAGGGAACAGAAAAGTATAGAAAGGTGTCTCACAACTACTAAGTAGAAGATTGAGAATTCAAACTCAGCATAATCTGGTTTAATGTATGCTCTTAAATACTGTGCTCTTAACTAGCTTGTCTCTCAAGAACTATGCTGATTATTTTAATTATAATTTTAATATTTAAGTTTCCAATGGGGATTTAATTATTTCTTGTCTCATTGATTGTAATATCATTAAGATGTGTCTTGGTATAATTGCTTTTTTTAGTTATTCCATTTGGAATTTCTGTTTTTCCTGTCTTTGTGGTTTATTATTCTCAGCTCTTGAATTATTATAGTAATTATTTCTTCATATATCACCTGTGTTCATTCTTTTTTCTCCTCCCCTCCTGACAAATGTGTTTTCTGTTTTTTTTTTTTTCCTTTAGTGTTCTATTCTAATTTTGTGTTTACCTTTCACTTTCCAGTGTCTCCTTTGTTGGATCGGTTAGCTAGGAATCTGAGTTTTTAATTTAGTTATAGTAGTTCTTATTATTTTTAAAAATTCTGTTGGTTACTTTGTTATCTTGTCTATTTGTTCTTTCTTACATTTCTTGTATTACCCCATTTTAGTGCAAGTTTGTTTTGTACATGGATCTACTCTTAGGAAGACAAAGATGCCTAATTGAATATTATATAAGAGCAGATACTAAAATTTGTAACATTTGGAATTGGGGCCTAGTGATTTTTAGTAACATAAATGCTTTTGCTTTTTTGTTGTTTGACTAGGAGCCCATGAAATCCAGAGCACCACAGCTGCATTTGGAATACAGATTCTACAAACAGTTAGGATCTGGAGGTAAAGCTTTTCTATTCTTAAAGTTTGAATTAAATAAATTGTCATGGTAATAATCTTTGGTTTCAAGGAATAATATTTTAAAATTGAGTGAGTGGTTTCTTGTCACTGTGCTTATGAGAACTTGTCTTACCGTGTCTTTTTTAAAAAAAGGGTTTTTTGTGTTACTGGGTTTGAACTCTTGGCCTCAAGCCAGTGCTACACCCCTAAGCCCTCTTACTGTAGTCTTAAACTATAACAAATTTGGAGCTTTTTATGGTGGTGCTAATATTAGTAGAGAACATTATGGAAAAATGCTTAAGAATGTAAGATGCATATAACTTCAATATTCTTAATTTTTTTAGGAATATTATAGCTTGTGGTGGTTTGACTAATAGTCATATAGAAGATAATCACATGCTACTCTTTGGAACTTGTTAATGTTACCATGTGGTAAATGTTTGTGATGACAATGTGATGACAAGAGTATTCTTTCTGGGGAGACCCAAGTGCAATCACAGATATCCGTATAGGAAAGAGGCAGAGGGTCATGTGCCATTCATAGGAAAGGCGTTGTGACCATGAGGCAGAGACTAGAATGGAACAGCATTGTATCAGCAAGCCAAGAAATGCTTTCATGATTTTATTGGTCCAGGAAGAAGTCTCCAGGTTTTCCTCCTATTGCTAATAAAAGGTTTGTGGCCTTACTTATTAAATACTACCTTGATTTCATTTTACTGAAACTTGGTTTCAGCCTTCTGGCCTCCAGGCTGTGAAAGGAAAAAAAAAGTGTTTTAAGCCACCATATTTTTAGTAACTTGAATATCCCTAGGAAATTAATACAAGTATATTTTATAATTCTAAATTTAAATGAGAATGGATGTTTTAAACCATTGGAAAACAGTTGATGGAAAAAATTTTTGTTGAATTTTATACCTCCCATATTAAAGCTTCACATACTCTACTTTTGAGTACTTACTCTTTTAACTAATTTTACTTGTATAGTTTCCCATATATAGATAAGGCATAAAGTTTGTTTATACAGAGTTAATAAATTGGAATTTATTCCTATATCTTTTTTTAGTAGTACTAAGGTTTGGACTCATGGCCTTAAGCTTGGTAGGCTTATATTCTACTTGAGCTGTACCTCCATCCATCTATTCATGTATCTTTTTGTAAGCATATATATGTTCTAGTTTCATTTAGTAGAGATTCTACATTTTTCCCTAGAACATACTAAACAAATGAATCATCATTGTGGTGACAATAAATTTGCAATTTCATATTAATTCATTTATCCCTATAAACTTATAATACATATTTAAATCTGATATAAACACTTGTGTTCATTGACTTGGCTGTGGCAAGGTATTGAGATAATCATTTTTTAAGGGAGATTTCCTTGGCTCATGATTTTGTAAATTTCTATCCGTAACTGCCAATCGCATTGTGTTGAGTCTATGGTGAAGCACTATATTATGGTAAAAATATATTGTGGGTGGTGGAGGAAATCTGTTCACCTCATAGCATCTGGGAAACAAAGAGACAGGATTCCAGTATCCACTTCAAAGGCACATTCTCAATGGCATAAATTATTTGTCCCAGCTCATAACCATAAAGGCTCTGTCATCTTCTAGCAGTGCAATAAGCTGGGGACCAAATCTTTAACAGTGGACTTTTGGGAGACACTCCAGATGTAAATATTAGCGAGGCCTCTGTGTTACAGAAATTATCATTGATAATGTTTTTTTAAGTTATGGAGATAAAATTAGTTGTATGTGAAACCAAACCATTTATGTTTAACAAGTAAGCTATGTAGGAAAGAAAAGGAGTTGATTCATCTACTAAAAATTAAAGAAAGCAACCTGAAATATAGGATATTGCTGTACCTAGGGTTTCAGATGTTTTCCTCAATGTCTTGAGTCTCTGTGTTCTGCTTCACTTGGTATGTGTATGTAGGTCATTCTCTGGTTAGTCCTTGATAGTAAATAATTCATCATTTTTAGTCTAGGCTTATTTTGCTCAGCAAAATAAGACTGAATTTTACTGTTTCCTATTTGGCCCTTTGCTTTCCTTTGATTTAATCACAGTGAATTTGATTTCCAAAAGCTAGGTCATTTGAGCATCCCAGGAGGTGCCAGAATCACAGGGACTGAGCATGGAGAGCAGGGGTTGGTTGTCTGTTGTGATAGAGGTGTTAGAAGGGGAGCAGGGGAGATAGAACGCAGAGAAGTTAAATACAGCAGCTCTCTCTACTAAAGAACGGATGTATTTATTGTTTTAGGCTTTAATAAGTCATTATATTGAATTACAAAAGCACACTTTCACTATTTTTAACTTTTTAAAAGCTTTACTTTTAAAAATTATATTAGAGATACTGATATGAAAGTGAAACATATAGCTACACATCTTTTAGCACTTGAGAGACAGTGCGGATACTCCCATAGTTACAGAGCAGTATTTAAATATGTAAGGTGCTTCCCTCCTCTAATCTCCTGAGTTACAGTATCATTTATATGGATTAGAACATGAAGGACTTTGCCTGAAGCTCATCACAATGACTCTGAAAGTCTTAACAAATGTGGTCTTTTTGTTGTGTATTTTATGAATCGTGAATTTTGATATTTTTGTCTTCTTTTTACAAGTAAACTGTGTATTAAAAACACTTTTGAATATCCATGTGAGACTTCTATTAAAAACTAGAGTACTCCATTGTTTTGGGGAGAAGTAGTATCTTTGGAACACTTTCATTTTGGAATTGATTCAAGAAATTGTTATATTTTTAGATTTTCTTAAGCATAGATTAGTCATTTCAAGTAATTTAAACCCTTAATTCTTGTATAGTATATCAAGCTTCATTTAAATAACATCTTGTTCATAGTTTTTAAAATATGTCATTGATATCGCTGTTTATATAACAAATTGAAAAATAGAAAATAACAAGTGTTAGTGTGGATGTGGGGAGATTTGAACCCTAAACTTGCTGGTGGATTTGTAAAATAGTGCAGCCACAATGGAAAACTGATGGTAGTTTCACTAAAAGCTAAACAAAGACCTACCATTTGATGTGGAAAATTCATTTCTGGACGTGTGTACATGTGTATGAATGTATGTATGTACATGGGGCCTTATGTTTGCTTGGCACATGAGCTCTGCACTCCAGTAGGAAATGATTAATTCTTAAATAGAAAAATAAACCTGTCTTTCATTAGATATGAAGTTATGATGTAAAATCTCCACATTTCTCACGCTTCTGCCATTTTAAGTTTTAAAACATGATGCATTCATATGCAAGCATATCAGTTACATTAACTTGAGTTTATTTCATTTCTGAATAAATAATAAAACTTAAAAATTTTGTACCTCTTAGTTTTATAATTACTTTCTTGTGATTGGGCATATGTTTAATATCTGATTTTAGCGAGATAGAGGTAGGAGGAAAAAAATCATTGATGAGACCTTCGCAGTTCATGGAAATAGTGAAAAATGACATGTTCTATAAGACTTTTCTGACTGTAAAATTCTGCTGTCCACAACCATCAGTATCTAAAGAAAGATAGGTTCATGGCATTAACCCAATATTTTATATATATAAGAAACTTTACTTGAATTAGTTTCATCAGTTCATAATTTCATTCATAATTCAAAATTTAACTCATTAATTTCATAGATGTATTAAACACATGTTTAATTGGTATTCCTTTACAACTTAAAGATAATGAATTTGTTAAAAAATATAATGTAGCACATTTTAAGAAAGATTTGTAAGTTTGTGCCTTAGACAAGTCCTTTCTGGGACTATTTTTTCCTCCACTGGAATGACTTGATTTCTTTTATTTGGGCTTAACTTGTTGACTGCTACTACTGCTGCCATGATTTGCTCTCTCACTAATATTCACATGTAACAATTATTGCACATATCCAATACTCACAAGATTGAATGAATGGCAACTAGTCACAGAGCTAAACTGGTGAATGTTGGGGGTCACACTAGGCATACAGTTCAGTGTTTTTTAATCGTCTTCAATCAACAACCAGCAAGAAATTTCTAAAATTCTTTATTAGAAAGAATGGTAAGATTTATTTTGGAAAGATTCCCAGTGTATTAGCTGAAATAATGTAGATTTGGGGGACAACTCAAAAGGTGTAATTCCTTAAAAGGATTAACTAACAGCCCCACAAAATAAACACCAGGAAACAGGTACTTGAAAAGGGGCAGGGTCAAAGGGAGCAGATGAAGAAGGGGAGAATGTAGTCATAAAATTCAGAGCAAATCCTGCAAAAGAAAGAGAGCTCAGGGAAACGGTGGGATTGGGAGGGATTGAAAGAGGTGACATTGATTGAAATGTATTGTGTTCATAAACTAGTGGCAACTCCTTTGTACAACTATTTAAAGATTATAAAAATCATAGTTTAAAAGGATTCCCTGGGCTGGGAATGTGGCTTAGTGGTAGAGTGCTTGCCTAGCATGCCTGAAGCCCTGGGTTCGATTCCTCAGTACCATGTAAACAGAAAAAGCCGGAAGTGACGCTATGGCTCAAGTGGTAGAGTGCTAACCTTGAGCACAGAGATGCTCAGGGACAGTGCCCAGGCTCTGAGTTCAAACTCAAGAACCGGCAAAAAAATAAATAAATAAAGGATTCCCTGCCACACTTAATTTTTTTTTTAAATTAAGTGATGTGCACAGAGAGGTGCTACCATTTCATAAGTCAGTAATGAGTTCTTTTTGGGCATTGTTACTCCTTCCTTCTCTCTCTCTGTTTTTCCTTGCCACCCCTTCCTACATGTTGTGTAGTTCATTTTCAGCAGTGTCTACTGAGTACCACTGCTGCATTTGTTTGCCCTTTGTTTCTCTGTTTCTGTAGCTCTCCTTACTCTCAAAGATAGATAAAGGACAAGACAAAAAACCCAAGAAACAAACAGAATATACAAAAAGCAAAAACAGACAATGCTATCCTCAACATCAACAGCAGGGGAAAGAAAAACATGCAAATAAACCACATTTCCGATTCCTGAAATTCATTTCGATAAAATTAACTGATTCTACTTAGCCTGAAATCTGAGATTTACTTGCCTGAGCCTTCCTACTGCTAGGATTATAGGTGTGTATCACCACACCTTACTTCTCTTCCACAGTTACTGGAAAAAAAAATCAACCAGAAATAAAACAGGTATTTTTAATGGAGTAACTTAATTCTTCATAAGCAGTATGTAGATATGGTAGGTAATCTTTTATATGTTTGTTTATTGGAAGCCAAGTACAGATGACCTCAGATATATTTGAGGTTTGTCTTACTTGTTTGGGTGTATAATGAAATTATACTAATATAGTATCTTAAAAGAAGAAGCTGTATTAGTTCACAATTTCCCTGCCTCTGGAGTCCAGATATGGTCTAGCAAGGTCCCCTATTGAGTGTCTCCCCAGGCCAAAGCCAAGGCATGAGCCTGGGGTCTCCCTGGACTATCTTCATGCTCACTGGTCTTGCTAGCATTCAGTGAGTTACGGTTACAGGATCGAGGCCTACAGTTCCTAGAAGCTTCTATCCTGGCACATCAATACTTCACAGCGTGGTGGTTTGCTTAAGGCTCTATAGGAAAGCACATTTGTTGCTTCTAGTATGTGATTTGTAGTTTTTTTTTTTTTTCTTCAGCACTAAGGTTTGAACTCAGGAAGGCTTTGCATTTGCTAAGCAAGTGCTCTACTATTGAGCTACCCTTGAAAATGTAGAGCCTCTTTTTACAAAGGGTCTGAGTAGGTTAGATTCACCAAAGCACTCACTCTGCCTTTTGATTGACTTACTGATAGGGGCCTTAATTACACACACATACACACACACACAAACACATGTATATGTGTATAAATAAATAGTGTATATATATATATATATATATGTATGCATAGATAGGGACAAATGTGTGTGAGTAGATGCTTGTGTGTGTCTATGTATATATGCATAGAAACATACACACACATATATATACATATATAGATAGCCAAAGAGTAAGATCCCAGGAATTTTGCCCATATTTAAGGGAAGGGGATTTTATAGGGGATTCTTTTTTTTTTTTTTTTTTGGTCAGTCATGGGGCCTGAACTCTCGGCTTGGGTGCTGTCCCTCAACTCTTCAGCTCAAGGCTAGCGCTCTTGAGCCACAGTGCCACTTCTGGCTTTTTCTGTTTATGTGGTGCTGAGCCCAGGGCCTCCTGCATGCAAGGCAAGCACTCTACCACTGAGCCACTTTCCCAGCTCTATAGAGGATTCTTAAAGATAGCTTTAGTAGCATGCCTACCACAGAGTTATTAAAACAGCTTTGTTCAATAAAAATTTTTTTCTATGTGCTAAGTATTTCTCTAGACCATGGAAAAATAAACAATAAAACTAGAAGTCCAGCATATAAGGTGTTACAGAATCAGTAAAATACTCTTTACATTGTCATTCAGTAATGCAGCTACAGTAGAGGTGTATAACCAAGCTGCAATGTGAACACCAGGGAGAAAGTGGAGGAATGGCAAGGTTTGCTCATGGAAGGCGTATCGCATGTCTGGAAGAAAATAACAATACTGCTACAGTGCTTGAAATTTTAAAGCTAAAACATAGTTGCTATTTTCTATAGAGAAAATATTTAAGATGAAATTGTTAAATGACCTTTTCTTTTCTCCTAGATGGTATACCTCAAGTTTACTACTTTGGCCCTTGTGGTAAATACAATGCTATGGTGCTGGAGCTGCTGGGACCCAGTTTGGAAGACTTGTTCGACTTGTGTGACAGAACATTTTCTCTTAAAACAGTTCTCATGATAGCTATACAACTGGTGAGTAAAGCGAAGTGTTTTGTGATACATGGTTCATTGGTCACAAGTTGAAGTTAATAGCTCTATTAAAGTTTTATGACATCCTGCAGAGCTTTTGACCTGCCTAATACAAATGTTTCTGATGTTTATATATGCATCATAAGATACATATAACTTAAATAATGTGTCAAATATATTTTATTTATATGAAAATTAGTATCATAACTGCTTGAAGAACTGAATGTTTGTTTTTTTCTGTGACTCTTTTCTTTAAAAGAGAACCCTCAGAAACATAATCCTTTTTGTTTATGTAGTTGTATAAAGAGGATACAATTCTATAAATCAGTTTGGGAGTACATTGCATCTTGACCAATGTCACCACCTCCATCGTTTTCCCACACTTTCCCCCTCCCCCAGTCCTCACCCCCAAGCTATGTAGCTCAATTTTTACAAAATAGAAACAACAAATCTTAAAATCATTAAATTTCAGGGGATCTATGAGAAAACAACTTAGAGGCTTTATTTATTTACTTTTTTTTGAGACTGTGTCTTACTATGTCTTGCTAGCCAGGACCTTGCTAGGTAGCCAAGGTTAGCCTTGAACTCTTAGTTCTACTGTAGTCTAAGTGCTGGGATTATAGGTAAACATAACCAAGCCTAGCTTAGAGGATAGTTTTAGGAGAGGTTTGACATGAATGCCAATATGACTATGCTGTAGAAGTCTTAAAATTGATTTTATTCATCAAACCATTAATTACACTTCTATTCATCTTATGAAAGTATTCAGATGTACTTAAAGTATTTTGTACAAGGACAGATATAATTTAAAAAAAGGGGCAAAGAATGCAGATGTGGAGATTAACAGGATAAGTTGGTTAAATTATCACTAGCCTAAAATAATATGCAACTATTAAACATATGTATTAAAAGAATGTTTCATAACTTGGAAAATGCTTATATAATTGGTTAAAGCATAGGTTATTGAATATTAATAAGGAAATCATGGTGACTTATATAACTTTGTGTTTATATTGTATTATTAATCATTATTGCAAGTAGTTGAAGCAGCTTTCTAATTTTTGTTTATTTGTTTATTTGATTATTTTTGTGTCACTCCTGGGGCTTGAACTCAGGGCTTTGGCACAGCCTTGAGCTTTTTTGCTCAAGGCTAGCACGTCTATCACTTTAGCCACAACTCTAATTCTGCCTTTTGATAGTTAATTAGAGGTAAAAGTCTCATGGATTTTGCTACCCAGGCTGACTTTGAACCATGAACCTCAGATCTCACCCTCCTGAGTAACTAGTAGGATTTACAGATAGTAGCTACCACAGCTCGACTGTGTTCTGATTTTTAATACTCTATTTTATGTTACTTGGATGATGAACACTATTTGAGAATTTGTAAGTGATTAATATAGGTCTCCACTATTATTAGATGCCAAAACTTTCCAATTTTAAGATCCTATTTTTAAGTGTTCAATACCTAGGAAAAAATTAAGTTAAATAACAGAAAATAAATACTGCAGGATGGTGTTAGTCATTTTTAACATCTTAAACTCTTAAATTGTTTGACTACTGATCTAAGTTGTTTGACTACTGATCTAAAGTAGTATGAAACTTTATGAGTATATCCATTTATGTTTTACTTCAAAGGTTTTTGACTTCATGAGCTACCACCCTTTGAAAATGTTGATTATATTAAACCATGTACCATAACTTCATGAAATTATATGTAAAGACATAGTTTAGGTGGGAATTGGATACACACACACACACACATATGAGGAGCTATAGACTAGTATGAAGGGTTGAAACAGTTTCTGATTTTTTTATTTTTTATATTCATTGTGGAAATTTTGCCTTGCCTTTATTATGATTTCTTTTGCTAGTCGAACCTAAAATAAAATTTCTGTTGTTTCTCTTAAACCAAGATTTCTCGTATGGAATATGTCCATTCAAAGAACCTGATCTACAGAGACGTAAAACCTGAGAACTTCTTAATAGGACGACCAGGAAACAAAACCCAGCAAGTTATTCACATTATAGATTTTGGTTTGGCAAAGGAATATATCGATCCTGAGACGAAGAAACATATACCCTACAGAGAACACAAGAGCCTTACAGGAACAGCTAGATACATGAGCATAAACACACATTTAGGAAAAGGTACGTGTATGTTTTGTAAGTGTGGAGGTTGGCATTGAGCATGCTGCCAATGTGAATTTATATTTGGAATTGTGGTTCATTTTTTGTAGACTACAATAGCTTGTACAATGGTTTTAGTTTTCACATATTTAGAGGTTACTTCCATTTATATTAATACTATAAATTGCTAAACTATAAATAAGTGACTGCTGTCCTTCTGTTCACTGTATCTTTTTTTCTTCCAGTAATAACTTGGAATATTCATCTTGATACAGTTAGAGGGCTACACTTGATGATTTCTATTAAGCGGATGTGAGGCAAAGGCAGAACTGGCTTCTAGCTTAAGTGTATCCTTGCTGTAAGACTTCAGTGGGCAAACTATATAAACTTTTTTCTTTTTTCTTTGTTGGTCATGGGGCTTGAACTCTGGACCTGAGCACTGTCCCTCAGCTCTTCTGCTCAAGGCTAGAGCTCTACCACTTGAGCTGTAGCACCACTTCCAGTTTTCTGGTGGTTATTGGAGATAAGAGTCTCATGGACTACTTTCCTGCCTGGGCTGTCTTTGAACTGTGATCTTCAGATCTCAGCCACCTGAGTAGCTAGGATTATAGGCATGAGCCACTGTGCCTGGCTAAACTTTTTTTTTTTTTATTATACAGAGAGTTCCTTATTTGTAAAAATGTAAAATAATGCCATCCTCACAGACTTTTTATAGCTTGGGCCAGGTTCTAAGGATCACATATATTTGCTTATTATATAGCATTAGTCTTTTTTCACCTGGAAAAGTTACTCAGTGTTTCTTTTTTCTTTTTTTTTTGTTGATTGTGGGGCCTGAACTCTGGGCCTGGGCGCTGTCCCTCAGCAATTCAGCTCAAAGCTAGTGCTCTACCACTTGAGCCACAAGGCCACGTCCAGTTTTTCTGAGTGGTTTATTGGAGATAAGAGTCTCACGGACTTTCCTGTCCAGGCTGGCTTTGAACCCTGATCCTCAGATCTCAGCCTCCTGAGTAGCTAGGATTATAGGTGTGAGCCACTAGCACCCGGCCTTCAGTGTTTCTTTATAGTTCATGGCCTTATTTTTGAGGAGCAGCACAGTCTTATTTTCTTCTCAGTTCCAGTCACTTATTCTTCTTGATCATGTTTTGGGGTACATGGTCAGCATAAAGTGTATATGCTTATTGCAGTATGTCAAGATCTGCATGATGTAATTAATTCCAAGCTTCTTTGGTCATTTGCTTAGGGTAGTGTCTGTTGCTGACTTTTTCCATTAAGGATCTTTCTGTTAGTGATTTCTGTCATTTTTTTTAACACATTTTTATGTTCTAACATTAGCACACATGCTTCCTTTTACCCCTAATTGTTGATTTCTGCCTGTAGAGACTGCTCAGTGCATATGCTCAAAGGGTCTCAGCCTGTAGAGACTGCTCAGTGCATATGCTCAAAGGGTCTCAGCTTTGGTCACCACTTGTTTCTTCCATTAGGTTCCATGTGACATGTTCTTAATGTCTGAGTACTTTTTACTTTCTGATTGCAAGTTCTTCCAAATTGATCTTGTAGTTTCTCTGTTCCAGCCACATAGCAGAAGTCCTTTTATTGAATACGTCCTTTTATTGAATAATGTTAATATTTAAAAAGCAAGTTTTAGCCACTGGTATGTTCTTGCAATGGTTTGTTATTGCAGCGAGGCCCTGAATCCAGAACTAGGAAATGTGTATGTGTATATATTGACAAACAAAGAAATATACCTATAAAGGTACATGCATGTTTACACATGTATTAATATTTTTCTATTAAATGCTTTTAAGTTTATTCTGACACACCTGACTTTTCATCTGTCACTACAAAATAATGTGCCCCCAAAGGTATCTATAAGTCTTTTCCCATTTACATTTGTTTCTTGTCATCAGTTTGAACTCTTCCTAGTACTATTGACATAGTCCTTTTCAGAAGTCCAGGGTAGCAAGAAAAGAGCTTCAGAGTTGTCAAGTGACTGGGATCATCCATCTGACTTCCTGCTTAGTGTGATGTCTTTGTTATTCTACAATGCCACAATTGTTTATAAGTTCTAATGTGGGCAGATATTTGAGTTAATAGTTTTTTTTTACTATTATGAAAAAGGTCTGTGGCATTCTTACACATTGTTTTTGTTTTATGCAATTGTTTCTTGTGCAAAGTGGATTATATGTGTATGTGTGCACATACGCACTGTGACTGGGACTTGAACACAGGGCCTTTAGCTCTCTTGCTTGATTATCTTACTCACAATTGATGTGATCTTAGAGATTCTTGTAAAAGCAATGTGATACAACTGCAAAGAGTGACTGGGAACTGGCACATGCACTGGTAGTTGGGTGCTAGCTAGAGAGAGCTTTAGAACTGAGTAGTATATGCAGTCTTTCTTACATACTGTTTCCTTCATCAAACCCTTCAATTTGATATACTACCTTACATCTCTGAAGTAGGAAAGCAAATATTTCAGATATTCCAGCACCACCCATACCAAAAACTTAGCAATGAAACTTCTGTTTGAAGAGCTACTATATACTGCAACAAGGTCAAGATGATGCTCACATTGCTGAAGCAAAACCAGGTAAAGACTAGGAAATCCATATGGTTTTACCCCCGTAGTTTCTTTTTCTTCTTTTTTTCTCCGTCACAGGGCTTGAACTCAGGTCTTAGATACTATCCCTGAACTTATTCACTCAAAGTTAATGCTCTAACACTTTAAGCCACAGCTCCGCTTCGGGATTTCTGGTGGTTAATTGGAGAGGAGTCTCACAGAATTTCCTGCCCGGCTGACTTCAGACCATGGTTCTGGGATCTTTAGCCTCTTGAATAGTTATGGTTACAGGTGTGAGCCACCGGTGCCCAGTTTATACTGGTAGTTTCTACAAGTCATTGGAAAGACAAACTGTAGTATTAAAACAGTAAAGCCATTGCTTAAGAAGGAGACAATAAAGGTAATTTTCTTAGGAGAGAATTTTTGAAAGATGTGAAAAGTTCCATTTAAATTGCTACATTTAGCAGCCAGATACACCCCCTACTTAAAGTGTCTGAATGACATGATTATAGTCAAAGTTAAGCAAATAAAGACCAAGACCTCTACTATAATGACCCTGAGTTCCCACATTTCCCTTTCATGTGAGATGTGGGAGCAGGTCATCATAATTCAGGAAAACATGTCTTTCACTAGTCAGGTCTCAGTGTCTTCCAAATGGAGAATTTGTACAATAAGTTAGTCTAAACATTTATGTTTAACTTTGGAATGACAAGAACACACAGACACACACAAACAACAGGACAGCTTCGTGATCTACAAGCATAATAAAGCAAACGTAAAGAATTCAGGGTCTCATGCAAACAATTCCACACCTAGTTGGCCCTCCAGCAGTGGCCTATTCTCAGTGATGGCCAGTCAGCCTCTCCCTTTCACATCATCCGCTAATTCACTATGACAGCAAGGAAAGACAGAGCTGATGAATTCCAATCCCTTCATTCAACCAAGTCAAATTGGAGATAATTCACAGGTGAACTTCATGATTTTTATTTTTTTAACTCAGTTAGATTTGAATTAACATGATGATTGGTATCAAATACTAATTCTTTTCTATAGGGCAGTTTGATTCCAAAATACAGTCTCTAGTGACTCAAGTCTCACAGAGTTATTTTATTCTGTTGGCAAAAGCTGCTTGGCTTTCAGCTTCTCATTCTTTAAGTAGGTTCTGAAGGATGGGTATGAGGGCCCACACTTTCTGGAGCTGTGAAAATCTGTCAGCTCCCCTATAGTTAACTTGCCAAGGTGTGAATAAGCATAGGTATAATGAAGAACTCAAGGTCATCCGAAGACAGTAACTGGATAGTACTAACACAAGTTTCTACAGTGAGGAGACACACTGAATCCTGTTCATCTCAAGCTGTGTTGGTGAACAGTAGAGCAATTAAAAGTTACCACACAAATTTCCAAACCTTCTGTAAATCCACCCAGTTTGGAAACAGTAGCATGTCATCACTAATGTGTCATCTGAGCAGTGAACAGAAGTGCTGTCTTGATTTCTTTATTAAACATGCTTGAGATAATATTTTTGGTGAGTGTATTTCAGGAGCAAACTTTCCTGGTGGATTTAAAATATGAATGGCTAGATGCAGAATTGTCAGGATTGTACCCTTTATTAAAAACAGCACACCTTATTTGTCAGTGTCAGTGAGAAATTTTCATTTCATGGGAGTTAACAGACTATTTTATTGTAGCTAACAAAGGTTCACCACTGTTTTATTGTGTGTTATGAAGTCACAACTTCCTATGGCCTAATGTTCTTTATCTGAACAATGGTAAATGCAGCGCATTCTATTTGTAGAAATGGCAAAAGTGAGTGATATGTTTGTCCTTGTTGGGAAAGCCCTCAGAACTATGGAAATAACACTAACTCTTGTAACATTCTCTTTACTTTTTCAAGAAGGAGCCAAAAATTTCTTTGGCAAGTACAGCAAACAATAAAAGGTTTAGTTTTTTTTTTACTTTTAAAGCTCTTCAATTTTAATGAGGATTGGGTAGATCGGCAATATTTTTAATTTTAAAATGTATTCTATTATCTTTAAGTTGTTCAAAGGTGTTTCAATTTAACATGTTGGTTTTTAGTGCATTGTGATCTATGTCAGCCCTTCATTATTCTCCACCCTCATCCCAATCCCCCCATCCCTTCAAATTATCTAGTTTAGATATGTAGTATTAATAGAGAAATACTTGCCAGATTACATGAATTTCTATTTTAAAATACATTGAGAATAAGATAAAGTAATATGAGTTTTGGTCCACTACATGCTATGAGTTTTTGATGTCTTGAACATAGAGTATTTTCTGGTATTTTGAATAGAGGGCACAGCACTATGAGGAGTCTGGAGGGCAGAAGGAAAAAAGAGGAATTATGACTTTTTAGTGTCATCGTATATTCATGTACCTGACATCAGCCTTGTTTTGCTTGAGCTTTTGTGATTACTTCTTTTATTTATTTGTATATTTGTTT